AGGTATTTGTGGTATTTCTCCCCAGTACTTTTTGAATTCTTTTTCATACTCTTCTCTTGTTGACTTTGGAAAACATAAACAATAAATAATATATATAGCATGATCAATGGGAATATTAGTTGACATGCAATTTAAAACTAGCTTGATGTCTCTAACTGTAAAGCATCTATAAGATTTTCCCTTTGACGCTCTTTTCGCACAAAATTCATGGAATTTGATAAAGTTATTAATAGTACTTTCATTATCTAGACCACTCTTGCTTATAATCTCTTTGAGCTCAAGTTTATCGAAATTGTCGAAATAAATGATTTTGAATTTTGATTGGAATTTTTGCAAAAGTTTGTTTCTGTTCTTGACGTAATCTTCATTGGCTGGATTCATTGTTGCTACAAGCTTAAAGTTATTATTTCGAGGAATTGGCTTATAGTTATTCTGACCAATCGAATTTAGCTCAAGATTGCCAGAATCAAGAGAAGCTTCTATACATTGAAGAATATCTGGAGGTGCAAGATTGATTTCATCAATGATAAGACAGCCTCCATCGCGGAATGCCTTCGTAAATGGGCCTTCTTCGAATTTTGTGACTTCATTTCCAGATTTTTGAAGAATTGTTCTACCAAGTAGCTGTTCACCAGTTGTTTCAGAGCTGCAGCTAAATAATTCTGGATTATTTAACGCAATCTTTGCAGATGTAGTTTTTGCTGATCCTGTTGGACCCATTAAGAGAACAGGAAATCCTAAATCTGTGAATGAACGGATACCATCTATCCTCTTTATAGCTTCGCGTGTAGCTATAAAGCCGTGAGGATATTCATTCATTTTTCTGAAATTTAATTTCCAATTGAATTTTCTCTCAAATTTTGACAACATGTTTTATTTTTTGAATGGCAAACAAGACATGAAAAAATCACGTCTTATCGAATAATGCAGTACATAAAACGTTAACTAAAATTTCATCAAAAAAATTGGTACATATATAAGACATAAGATATCCAATTTTCTCTATTAGTCTTATTTCGATTAAAAAAAAATTGTGACTAATTTATTTACGGCAAGATGTAATACTGAGCCCGATGATAATGAATTCAGTGTGGATTTCAAGATTCGAGCATTTATTGAAGCATTGACAAATAGTGGAAGTATGGTATTTTAAAGGATGTGTCCGAAACTATTTTCTGAAGGTTTTTGTATTGATCATAATTTAAAAAAAATTTAGAATTTGTCATATTTTCCTTGTATAAGCTATATCTTGTCTAATGTGATAAACACTAGGAAATACTACTAATACATAAATCAACTAAAGTTAATGTATTTCTTTACATTTTAAATTCAAATAAATTTATATATGTGTATTTGTAAGAAGAGAAACATCATTAAACAATGATTCCAATTATTGGAATATTTAACTGAAAATATCTTGAATTCAATATTAAATATTTGATCCATCAATGAAGAAAATGCAATATCATTTATTATAACATTAACGCCTAGCAAAGAATTGCATGATTTCAATTGCATAATTAATAGCACTGAAAGTATCATCATTCTGATTATGTGAATTAAACAGTATTCCATGAATGAACTTCAAACTATTAATGCACATATGTTTGATTTCTGTGCTTCCTCCTGCATGGTATATCTTTTTGAGTAATGAGAAGTCCAAAGAATTAATAGCTGCCAAAAGTAGAAACTTTGAATGAGAGTCTCTGCAATGATCCATGCTGCAATCAAATCCATTATCAACCAAGTAATTTGCTATATCAAGCTTTCCCAAATGCAGCGCTACATATAATGCACTTTTATAGCTTTTTGCCCTGATATCGACTCCATAGCTTAAAGCAGATTTAACAGCATTTAAATCTTTATATTTGCATGCATAATATAAAATTGTATTGGTTTTTCCGTTTATATAGTTAAGATCAGCACCTGTACTTAATAATTCTTTAAACAATTCAATGTTTCCTTTCTTATATGCCAATGTTACGGGTGTTTGATTATCTATAATCATAATGTTTCTTGGAGGAACAATATTATAACTTTTCAACAAATTATAAATTTTTTGATTGTATTTATTAATTACGATAAATTTAACTAATGCACAATAAAATGATTGTATGTCAGGCAAATTTCCCTTCTTCAGAATAAACTCTAAAAAGTCGTAATAATCGTTTTTATAACAAAACTTAATTATTTGGTAAAATTGTTTTGAATCTGGAGAGTAAAATGAATAAAAATAATGTAGCCCTGGTAGAAATTTGAGTGATTTGAAGAATTTGTGGAAATCGCATGGTAGAACCAACCCATTTTCTGCGTAAAAAACGAAAGCTCTGATGTTAAATCTTATATCTGTTTCACTGCTTTGTTGTAAATTATTAAAATTTTCTAAAATCCAATCTGCAATATTATTTAAACGAAATGATATAGAAATATCAAAGCAATCACTAAAAATTACTCCTGCATTGTAAAATAAATGAATCATTTCATAATTTCCCCTTGCAATTATATTGGATTTGATGTTATAATCAATATTTGTCTTATTTAAAAGTGAAGGTTGATTTAAAATTACATATTTAACTAAGCCTGGATCGTTTGAATTGATTGCATCAAGTAAATCATTATTATTAAAATGATAATTTGGTTCGAAAAGTTTTTCTTGTAATTCTTGAATAGTTATTTTAGATTTGCATTCTGGACAGATGACATTCAGTTCGAATAAATCCGAAATTTTTTGTAAAAAAGAATTTGTTTGTTAATTCTTTCATTTTGTTGTGATTTGAGAGCAACAATATCAACCAAATATTTTTTGAATCCAATGTCAATATAATCTTTTATTTTAGAAACATTCTGATCAAAATTTTCGGAATTGAGAGAATAAATGGCTTCTTCAATATCCAGAAGTTTCTGAAGTTGCTGTGGAATCAGCAAATCTGATATTTGTTTAACTCTAAGTTTGTCTGGAAAGATCAATGTAAAAGTCAATTTTGTCACTTTTATATCAAAGTGATGAAATTGTTCGTATAGCAAACTATGCATAGAAAACTTTTTGATTGTAAGAAATTACCTATTTGATTAAAAATCTAAAATAATAAAAATAATTTTTAAAAGGACTGTTCTGATGAAAATTTTCAGTCTTTCTCTGAGAAGTTCTGGTGTTTTGAATGACATAATTTCAATTATATTGAACCATGTGCTAGCATTTGGGAGCGAGAAACTATTTTCATTTTAATAACTTGTTGATTCCTTTGAAACCTCTGGGGTTTAGTTTCCAGTTATAAATCTAATTAATTTCGAAATTTGATCTGGAGAATGTCAGAAAGTAAGTGTGCCCTTAAATGCCATAATTAATTATTTATTTGTGTTCATATTTAGCAATATAAAACATTAATAAATTATTTATTTGTGTTCATATTTAGCAATATAAAACATTAATAAATTATTTATTTGTGTTCATATTTAGCAATATAAAACATTAATAAATTATTTATTTGTGTTCATATTTAGCAATATAAAAGTTAATTAGAATTAAAATAAATAAAATAATAATTTAATCATTAAATTCTGCTTGGAATGAGAAGCAAATTATCAATTTTTGTCTTAGGAGTTCTGGTGTTTTATATGGCATAATTTCAATTAAATTGAAACATGTGTGAGCAAATGGAAGCGCGAAACGATTTTCATCTTGATAGCTTGTTGATTTATCAGCTAACTTCAAGCAAAAGTCTTTTGCATTCTTTGGAGTTTCGTTTCCAGTTATGAATCCCATTAATTTGGAAAATTCTTGAGAAGTGAATTTGGAAATTGCTTGGGTGAAAACTGGCCAAACAACGCAATTTCTTGCTGGTGGATTGAAGTAGGCGATGAATGAATTAAAGTCAAGTTCTTTCTTGACACCGCATGTTAATCCTTCAATGAAGCGGCCGGAGAAGTTTTTAACTTTGTCAAGAGGAATGACTTTCCAGAATCCTGAGCGCATAGCATTAACAATGTTTTTGAGACTGTTGAAATAACTTTCGTCATCACAGTCAACAAGAAGAGAAAGGTCTGAGTTAGTAACAAAACTGTCCCAAATGAATTGTGGAAGATTCCAAGCTTTGTGTGCATTTCGTGTTGCAATAGCACTAGCAATGAGAGAACCAATTGTACTTGCAACTTTGATTGGTAAGTTCGATGCAGGAACTAAGCGATTATTTTCACAATGAAGAGTGCTTGGTGGCTTGATGAAATATCGGATATTAACATCCATTAATTCATTGACCATAAGGAAGAATGAATCTCTGAACATACCACCGACATCTTGGCCAGTTGTTCCTTCGTATTCAGCGAAATACATAAGTTTGTTTTCTTTTGCTCTGAATGCGATGATTTTTGATGGGAAATGAGCTTCATCTCTAGCAAGGTAATCAATGATTCTGATAAGTGTTGGAGAATCATAGTCACACCGTGAGAATGTGTCCTAGTGATATCAATCTTCAAATATCCGATTGTTCCTTCAGCAGCCCAATCTCTGAAATCGTTTAACCATCCAACTTTAATGTTGGCATCATCATTAAAGTAATTGTCAATAGGATTCAGTTCTGGTGTGGAATAATCGAAGTAATCATCACTAACTTCTGTCAATGTAGATAAACCGATGTTTGCAAAGAATAAGACAATTGATGGGTAATCACCGATTTTAGCGTCACAGATCTTATTCTTCAACATGTAATCGACTAAAAGTGGTTTATAAACTCCGGAGAAGAACAATTTAAGGCCTTGTACGAATGTCTTTTCATAGAAAATACCGTGATTCCATGCTTGGAAGATACCGATCTGTGATGCACCGTAAGTGGAATTGTAAAGTTGATTGATATCTCTGCCAGCAGTGAATTTTGGATCTTTTTCACCTTCCATTACAGTATTTTCTAATTTGGCCTTGATATCGTTTTCTTTTCCTTTCATTAGTGCTTTAATTTGGTCCAGTTCTTGCTTTGATGATGTGTCAGACAATTTCGTGATCATATTCAATGCCATTTCGCTATTAATTTCTGGAAGATAATAAGGACATTGAACATAGAATCCTTGCATTCACCGCAATGTGTCAAAGGAATAAATTTGTCTTTAATACCATTCTTTTCACAAACTCTTTTCAGCTGCTGTCTGATGAAGTAAGAGTACTTGGAGTTTGTGTAATTTGGAACTATTGTATCTTTGAACTTCTTGCATATTTCCTTCATCTTCGGGAATTTTTCAGCAAATTTGTTCTTGTCAGATACAGCATCAAATAATTTTGATAAAAATGACAAAATAATGCAATTTTTGATTGCCTTTTCTGCAATTTTTTGTGGAGTATCCAATGGTTTTTGTGAATTGTCAGCTGGTTTTTGAGAAGGTGTTGCTTGGATATCAAGATCAACTTTATCGATAAACTCAATCATTTTCGCTGTTAATTTGGCAGTAACATTAAACTTTGGAGGATCAATTTGGAAACAAGCTTGAGAATTCCTTTGAACATCCACGTCATGATTATTTGCAAGCTCTGTCTTTCCTTTGATCTTGATGTATCTTGTAACTTCTGAATCAAATATTTCAGCACCCAATGCAATCATCGCACCCAAGCTAACATTTTCATCGTCGTTAGCTTCGATTTTTTCAAGAATTTTGTCTTTGTGTTCGGTTCTAATTTTGCAGATATTCTCCGAAACCTGCCAGTTCGAATCTGTAAATGTTGCTCTCGCATAAGCTAATTTAAATAGATAATTTTCTTTATCTTTTCCTGGTATAGGTAGCGATTCATTGCATTCTACAGGATTATTAATTGCTATTCCCATTGTTTTAAGAGTCATTAATGCCAATTTCATATCAGCTTGCTCTGTGTTGTGTTCTTCATAACTTTGTGAAATGTTATTGATGAGATTAGCAATTGTCTGATCGTTACCCTCTTTACTAATCAAGTGACAATTGATCACAACATCATTGAATTTTTGACAGGCTTTTATGATTTTGTGATTTTTTCCTGTTTCTGGGTAGATAATGAAATCTAAATGTTGAACTAAACTTCTCGCAAAAGGAATAGCAAATGATTCTGCTTTCAATTTGCGAAGTTTTTTGAAGAAATTCAAGATTATCAAATTCACTTCATTTGGCAACTCTTCTCTTAATGACTTATTTTTTTCGATCGCAACCAATTCTGTATAATCAAATTCAAAAGAATAAAAAGCAATTATTTTTTCATATCTCGCAGTCTGTGGAGAAGGCTTGCTGATTGTGCTGCTGATTGTCTGTTGATTTATTAGCTTGTTGATCGTCTGTTGGATCAAGATAAGCTTTTTCAATTATAGTATGGAATTTTCGGTTTATTGAATTCAACACTCCACTATATTCCGTAGTGTTCAAAAGATTAATTAATTCTAATTTTATCTTTTGTACCTTTGGTAAGTAAGGTTTGAAAATTGTATCAAACTTTGCTATAGTTGGTTCTGTTTCGAATTCAGTATATTCCTTTAACAAATTGCATGACCAAATGATTGAAAGCATTATTTTAACTGTAAGGACTTCAACGTCAATATTAAATGTCCTCTTTCTAAACATTTTTTGTGTTGTTGCCTTTGCGATGATATGGAAAATACTTTTTGGATTTTGATAATCCCTTTCGGCTGCAGAATAAACATCTCTCAAATTCGTTCTAAAATTAGAGTATTCTTCATTGGGTTTATCGCAATGCGGAAGGCTCAATATATCAGCATGAGCTTGCTCCATTTCCGTTAGAGGAATTGATTTTGTTGAGTTTTGAGCGCATTTGATGAATAAATATGGGAATAAAGCATATGTTGGATCTGCTTTTGAAAAATCTTGGGAACAGATTTTCGAGACAATTCCTTCAAGAATATATTGAGTACTTTTATTGTTTCCAATGATATCAATGCTCACATTTTGTCCATTGATCTCTGCTGATTCGGATAACAATTCTTCGTAGTTAAAGAAAGCATTTTGATTTACTTGTCCTTTAACAAAATCTTTCTGTGTTACTTTAATCTTTCTGAAAGGAGTTGCAAAATAAGTTTCGATATCTCCACAAACATTTTCAGGAGCGAAAATTGTTGTGTTTAATGAGATTGATGTTGGTTTTTCGATTTGTTGTCTTTCGGTGCTTTCTCCATAATTGATCAAATATTTTAATATTAACTCAGTAAAATTGGAATCTTGCTTGATAAAGTATTTCCAGATAATATCTGTTTTGAAAAGTTTATCCAAGTTTGTGATAACACATTTAACAAGATAAGGTCTCATTGGTATTACTGATAGTACTGAAAGAAGTGCTTTAAGAACTGGTTCATAAAATTCCTTATTTTGCTTATCATACATGTTAAAAACAAAATCAATGAAAGAAATAAATTCTTGGTCGAAGTATTGTTTCGTTGTATCGCTCATGTGTTTAACAATTGTATACAAGTCATAAATTTTTTCAATGATGAATTCAGCGAAAACTTTGGAATTCCGAGCCTTTATGTTTGACCATGGGAAGAAAACACTCTGTGGCAATTTGTATATATCGTTGAGTAACAATTCAGGTTGGTAAAATGCAAAATAATCATTTTCAATTCTTGTTCCAAAATTTGGCCAGTAAATTCCATATTTGACTGCTCTTATCATCATACCATATGTTTCTTGGATTGGAGCAGTTGGTAATTGTTTTCCAAAGAAAGCGACGATTTGCGATTTATCTTTGTCATTGATCATTTTGTTTGATGAATAAATTTGTCTGAGATTCAATATTAATAATCTGTCTAACATAAGATTTAAGAAATTCATGAGATTTTTGTCGATGCTTGAGTTATTCAATTCCTTGATTATACCAAGAATGAATTCAACGTGCTGAGTGGGATTGGCTGCATAATCACATTGTGCTTTTCCTGTTTTGATGAGTGAAATTAATGAGTTTGTAACTTCCATCAAAATATCATCAATAATCAATGAAACAGCTATTTGTGATTCTGTTGTGAAGCATGGACGAATGATTGTCAAATAATCTTCGCATTTTCCTTTCGGCCGGATATCAACAAGTATTGTATCTTCGTGAAAACTGATTCCAAAAATTTCTTTTTCAGAAAAGTTAACGGTTGAATAGATGTAATATTGAGGCTTTTCGTCAACGATTATCATGTTTCTTAAATCGAAAATGGTAATGCTATTGGATGCAGTATAGATATGCAATTCATTGTTAATAATATGAATGCATGTTCCTGAAAAAGCTGTTTTGACATCCAAATCGATGATTTCGCCCATTCCTGGATCAGTTGGAATTTCACTGTTTCTGTAAACAATAACACTGACTTCATAATTATTAAGGAGAATAAAAGTCAAACAACCATCTATAATGGCAGCACTTGTAATTTTGTATCTGTTATCAATGATACCACTCAAATCTTTAAAATCATTATTATTAATTGCGTATTTTTGAGAGGCAACATCGATAATGCATCTTCCTTGTGAATTATCTAATACAATGTAGGATACGGGAGACGAATTAATGTAAATGGTTTGGTTTGGAGATTTTTGAATCAGATTCGTAATTTCTTGACTTTTAATCCAGTTTTCGATGGGATGATTGGGTATTTTGCGTAACCTTGTGAAGATTTGAGGTTTTTGGTCCAAATTGTTTTGACTTCTGTCTTCCGAAATAATTTCTTTTTTAACTTCTTCGTCAATATCAAATTTAGTTTGTTTTGAAATCAGCTTTAAAATTATCATCAGTTTTGCTAATGGATATGAACTTGGAGATATGCCATACTTGAGGAGATATGAATAATCTTTGACATCTATAGCTGTAAAAGAATCTTTAAGGAATTTAAATAGCTGATCTGGACGAATTAATTTAACATCGCTGGTATCGGCGGAATCTGGGTAATATTTTTCATTTGCAATTACTGGTAACATTTCAAACTTATTGCTACCTTTACATTTTGCATCAAAGTCGTCTCGAATTTTAATTACCAGATTTTCAAATGTCTGTGCAAGAGATGGATATGAAACTTCGATTGATTTTGCTTGTTCCTTAATTTTAGCTATAATCACATCTTGTTGTAGATTGTGTGTTTAAACTTATATCATTGTTTCAAGCTGCTTATGTAATAACATGAACACGATAATAAAAATGAGGAAATTCTAATCTTAAATTGAAAAGTCATTAATCCTTCCATAATGCGAGTTTTATTTAAGGGTTTCGTTTTGCGAAAAAAACATACAATACGCAATTTCGCTAAAAAAACATTTAGCTAGCAATTTCGACCTTTGACTCCACTCAAGACGTCACTTTTTTAATTTTGCGGTATCATATTTTTGGAAAATCTTTATGAATATTATATAAAAAGTCTCTTTAATATCTATATTTCATATTTTTATCGATTTTTAAAGTTTTTGCGAAAAGTATTCAATTATTTTTGCTATTTGGTCGGGTAAATGTCAGATTTGCGACATTTTCTGATATGATATTCAGATTCTACGTTGATAATAATGCTTATAGAACCCTCTTGCTATTGTGTCAAAATTGCGAAACCGATAGCAAAAATATCTCGCAATATCAAAATTGAGATATTGAGTGAATTATGCATTATAGAGATTAAAAATCTGATTTGTGAAAACATCTCATCAGTTTCTAGCTAATTCAAAAATCTTTACTATCTTATTCGATTAAAATGAAAAGGGAATAGTTTCATTATGCTTTAAATGACAGCCTTATAATATAATCATAGTTTTCGCTCAATATGCAGCATTTTTTTTCGAAATCTATGGTCAATATCCTAAATACTGATTGCTTTGCATTCATATCTCTTACATTTTCTATACCCACATCACAATTCATTGCTATTCCTATCTTTTTCATTTTTGTTTGTTTCTCATAATTTCTCAAAAAACATGATAACTTGATATTTGTAAATATCATACTTTATAACGTAAATAAGAACTTGACCTATTAAGAAAAGCAGTAATGAAAAGAAAATCTGAAATTCATAAAAATTACAAGTTTCTGATGACAATTAGCTTAATTAAACCAGGTACAAGATTATATAATTGTATTTTCTATCCAATTATCCATATAATATCTTATCCAGAAAAAATAACTTGATCAATACCAAATGATTTTTTAACTAGTAAATAAAGTATTTTCTTTACACACACATTGTATATCATAGTGTTTTTTTTTTGGTTTCGCAAAACATCCAAAAACAAATATGCTATAAAAGTGACAATTTTAGCAAAACGAAACCCTTATTTATGTGTATAAAAGAACAACGACTATTAAAAACCGAATAAGATTTAAATTACAACATAAGTATAAACTCAATATTTGAAATTCTTCAACCAGAATCATTATCCAATGTGTCATTTAATGAATATTGAACATATGACTTATCATATATCAGTTAGATGACACATTTCATATTTTAATGTGATCATAAGAATAATATCAGAAGAAGATATGATTCATAGCTTATAGATGAGATCACTTGCTGTATAAAATAGGAAAATATGAAGGATAGAAAAGTTTTTATTTGAAGAAAAAAGAAAAGAAAGATTTAATGTTGAATAAACCAGAAAGAAAACTTCGATTGTATACTTCTGGTTTCGCTGTTTCAATGCCTAAAGCAAAACTCTCATTGCTTGAAAACAACAAAATAAAGCAAGGTAATGAACAAAGGAAAGAAATTTCTTTAACTGAAAATGAAATTTGATTTTTTGGAAGAAAATTTTTAGTTTTACATAGTTCTGTAGAAAGATGCTTTAGTTCATTGTTTATTTCTTTATCATAAGTACTTCTAATTACAACATTTCCTCTTATTGTTGTTCCTTGATTTCTAAGGTAACAATTAATAACTTCTGTTGAACCTGAATCTTCTATATAAATGATGTAATTTGCTTTGTTGTCAATAATATTGCATTCTTCAATTGTTGCTTGGTTACAATAAGCATTATAGATGATATCACCTGTTGCTGCGTTTTTTATAACGTTACACCGGAATATTTTTAGAGTTGGAAATATATAATTCCTTATACAGTAATCATCTTTTGATGTATTATTTATTATTGAATTGAATGTAGAATTTGAGTCTGATTGTCCTTGAGTTATTGTGTATGCGCATTTTTCATTTGTTTTAAAGTATGAAATATTTGTTTTTGCTATGGATTGTTTTCCGTACAATAAGTATATTGGGGATCTTCCAATTGGATTTTCAGTAGATCTCGAAAAAGTACTTTCAATAACGTAATTTTTGTATGAACCAGCCGTAGATCGGCTCAAACAATACTGTCCAGAGTCTGGTGTAGAACAGTTGAATGAACAAATTCTGTGATGAACAACTTCTCCTTTTGTAGTGTAAACAGCACCACCATTGCCTGATGGAACTGATACACTAACAAATGTACTATCTTCAAATAGAAATTTAGACTCGCCTGTAAAATAAACTGCGCGATTTTTGAGATCTTCGAAGAAACAGTTATCAACGCAGTAGTTCTTATTATCATTGTAAGTGCCATTCTTTACGTGTTCACATTCCCCCCCAAAATATGTCGCAAAATCTTGATGGGAGAATGGCGTAATGCCATTTTCAATTCAATATATTGCCAAAATTTCGGTTCTTCTCAATTTCAAGTTTCATATTATTTTGAATTCTTTTTTAGGTCAATTACAAGAATTCTTTGAAAATTAACTAAGTAAATTATAATATGAGATATAAACTCTTTATTTTATATCAAAAAAAGACTGATTTATCAGTTTTCTTCAACTAAATGAAGCAGATTTTCAAAATAAAACAAATTGGATGAAATTATTTTCTTAATAATTGTCTCTCGATCATTATCCTCTGCAATAAATAGCAGTTTTATTCAATATTGATTCATTTCTGATGTTTTGATGATACTTTTACAAGCCATGAAATTTTCGGTAGCCAATTTCAGAGCTATAAATCAACCAATTTTGAATTTTAATTCCTGAATCAATTTTGGAATACTTGGAGCGTTTCCATTTGGAGACATAAACTCCAATGTTTTTCTGCTCATTCTCTTTGCATCTTTGTAGGCCGTAAATATTTTTGGGCTATTGTTTACAATGAAGAACTTTACTATATTAGAGGGGAAAAAAAGTAAAAAACACAATCATGATCATGTAGATCTAAGAGGTAATAACTTCTTCTCTAAATAACAACTTAGTTTGCATTCTTTTATTTGGTTGATCAGTTAATTCTACATTCGCCATTTTCACGCATAGCATCAGACAAATCAGTATCTTCGTATATAATGATGTAATCATCAGCAGTTTTTCCATTATTATCCATTATACTCTCATCCGCATTGCGTGATTTCAGCAATTCTATAAGTTGATAATTTTTATACATAGAAGCAATATGCAATGGCGTTTGTCCTTTATTATTCCTCGCATTTATATCTGCAAAATTACAAATAAGAAAATCTGTTGTTTTCTCATGCAACTTTTTAACACTACAATGAAGTGGAGTATTCCCATCGTTATCTTTTGCATTAATGTCAGCACCTAGTGAAATAAGAGTCCTTATTATTTCGTGATATTTTCCTTCGGCAGCATAATGGAAAAGTGTTTTCCCTTTCAAATCTTTTTGATTAACATAAGCACCTTTAGATATATAGTATTTCAAAAAATTAATTTTGTAGTTGAAGTCAGCATATAATATAGGTGTCTGTCCTTTTTCATTCACAGAATTTATATTTGCTCCATTTTCAATTAGAAATTTTGCAACCATTTCATTTCCTACTGCCAGATGAAGAGGAGTGTTTCCTTCCTTGTCATGTACATCAATATCTGCACCATGAAAAATAAGTGTTCTTATATTTTCTATAGAACCGTTTTCTGCTGCAATATGGAGCGGAGTTTTATCATCTGAATTTCTTATATTAACATTATTATGAAGACCAATAACAAATTCTAACGTTCCAAAAATATTATTTGTTGCTGCACAATGAATTAAATATTCCCTTTCATTGATAATACATCCATGAGAAAGAAGAAGTTCAATAATCTCTCTTCCACCGTGGGTTGCTGCTATTTGAAGAGATGTTTGTCCATCATTATTAATATCATTTGGATTTGCTCTATTCTGTAGAAGTATTTTTGTGATTTCCAAATTATTATTTTTTATTGCTAAAAGTAATGGAGTGAATCCATTAACATCTTTTGCATTAACATCAGAACCTTTTTCAATTAGAAATTTAAGTGTTTCAATAGATTTTTGCATTGCAGCAAAATGAAGTGGAGTTCTTTTATTTTTATCCTGAGCATTTACATTTGCTCCTTTTGAAATTAAATATTTTATAATTTCAGTACACCCATTTTCAGCTGCATAATGTAAGGGAGTGCATTCTTCTTTGTCTCTTGTATTAACATTTGCACCTTCCGCAATAAGAATATTTGCAAGTTCAGTCCAATTATTAATTATAGCATAATGAAGAATACTTCGATTTTGTTTGTATTTTGAATCAATACTCCCTCCATTAGAAATGAAATATTCAACTAAAGATGGTATTCCAAATAATGGAGTTATGCTTGTGCATTCTCTGATTTTATTCAAATTTACTTTTTCAATGGAATTGTTTTGATCAAAATAAATTAAAAATACTTGAAGGTTTTTGTATTTTAAACACATATCAATATCAATATCGAGTTCTTCTTCTGTCACTAAATAAGAAACAAAATCAATGTTATGAGAAATAATGGCATATTTCATGCATGGTTCTAAATCAACATCACTTCTCTTATCCATTTCTTTCAAGCATATGTTTAGAATATCAGGATTTCCACTCAAAAAAGCAAAATTTATGCAATTTTGTGTTACTTTGAACTTGGATTTTGATAAAAAAAGTTTGAAACAATTAACAGCACCCTGAAAACAACAAATTTCAGGTATCGAATATTCGTCACGTTCAGGATAATAAATGCTTTTTAAATACTTAAAATCCTGTCGGTTTTCCGTTAATTGAATTAACTTTTCTACACTATCTTCCATAATTGCGTAGTCAGTAGAATTTTCTGGGAAAATATCTACTGAGAATTTTTTATTTTCCATTTTATGAAATTCATTAAGCATTTGTGTATCCCAAATAAAGTTATATTCTTTATACAAAAGGAAAGCAAACTTCATATCAATATCAAAATCATGATTAATGCCATATTCGTTGTAAATCTTTTTGAATATTTCCCAATATGCTCTTAAATAACCTATCCTATAAATGCATACTATTTGAATTTGATCGTAAATATCTTCTGGTGAAAATAATTTGTTTTCAAGTAAATTATTTTTAATCTTTTCATAAATCTGATTAATTTTTTCTTCTGTATTTGATTTAATACTGTAAAGAGAATTAAATGTATCTATATAATCATTGCACATATGTAGAAGTACATCATAATGTCTTGTTAAACTTTGGGATTCGCTCATTTAATTCTATGAAGCACAAATCCGACCAAACTGTTTATATCGTCAAAAATATGACTTTTACCAGAAAATACAAGATATTGACAAGGTTAGGTACTTGATTAAGATTCCTTTTGGATTTTTAGAATTATACTATTTCTAGATTTTCTTCACATGGACTTTAATCAAAGAACCTCAAATGATTCTTAAATGATTCTGTTCTTTGATCCGATGCATCAATACTTCCATAATATGAATAATCATCAGTTCTACATTGATATATAAATATATGCCCAAAACTGTATCTTTCAAATAGAGTTCCCATTTTATTCTGTCGATTAATTTTGAAAGATGAATCGAAAATATCAAGTCTAAGATTAAAAACAATTCCAGTATAATCTTCTTGATCTTGAGAATGAAAAGCGTTTTGAAGTATGTCCAGCAGATATTTCCAATGATTTAGTGTCATCAATGAGTATTAAACAAAAGAAAGAAACTTGAAATCAAATTCTTCACAAAATTTGGGAGACAGACACTTGTAGAATATGATTTCAAGTTGATATTGATGGTTTTCCTACATATTGTTACAATAATTTTACATTCAATATGTACATTAAGAAATTTGGATAAATACCTTTAATAAAATTATGAAATAATATGGTAAACATGCTTAATATTATAAGAAAATAAATCAAATATCATTATTTAATATAAACAAACAAAATATTTGTGAAATTTTTATTAATATATTGATGAAAATTGGTCAATAAGAGAAGAGAATCCACATAATGGACAAGACTCAAAAATGTCATCATCTGGGATTCCTTCTCTTTGACAAAGATTTTTGAGACAATCTTCGTGGAAAGAGTGGCCACAAGGGAACCTGATGAATTCTGTAGTGATCAACTTAGATGAACAAACATCGCAGCAGTCACTAAGCTTCAGAACGAAGTCTTGCATTTGAGGAGGTTTGAATTTTCTCTGGAAAAGACATTCTCCCTCTGTAAACTGCAATTTCTGGGCAGATTCCTTTATTTTATCCCTATAAAGACCGATTTGTTCGTTGTCATCAACAAATTGAAGGAGTTCTTCAAATTCAAACAAATCTGATGAAATTATCTTCTTAATAATAGTCTTTCTATCATTATCCTCTGCAATAGATAACAGTTTCATCCAGCATTGCTTCTTTTCTGATGCTTTTACGATATTTAAAATGGAAAACGCCAAAGAAATGCCTCCTTTGTATGCTACGGCTATAGATCTTATTGGCATGCCCATTTTAACCAATGCCTTGGCCGCTGGTTCGAAAAGCTTGAAGTAAATACAAAATGATGACAAAATTTCAAGACTACAAGTTCTTGACTGGATTATATTGTTGAGACTGACAATATCTTTGTTCAAACAATGAGAAAGTACTAACAATATCTCTTGAATGCGAGATTTCGGAAATCCAATAACTTTATTTGAAATTTGAGGAAGGTTTGATAGCAATAACATGATTTCCGCTGGATCAATGATATTGTTATTACTTATATAGCTCATTGCAATTTGAGATCCAGGAATTCTCAATAATGCGTTGACAACAAGGGCCAAATCCTTAACTTTAGGAAGGTATTCAAGAAGAGTGGAATAGTTCTGGTGGAATAAGTGATAATCAATGATTTCTTGGTCATCATTGAAAATTTCTGACAAAAACAACGGAGCTTGTTCCCAATCGAGTTGTAATAGCTTCTCTCCTATGTTCTGCTTGTTAAAGATGTCTGGATAGCGCTGAACAAACAATTTAAAATCATTTGACATTTTTGGAAGAACTGAGAGATATAAATTAAGAATCATCCACGCAGTAGCATATTTTAGCTTATTCTTGGTTGAATCAAGCGTTTCTAGCCTTCCTTGGAGGAATAATATTTTTTGTTCAGAAGATTTAAGAATATTGAAGCCATCAATGATGGAAAGGTCTAAATGTGGTAAAAACTCAGTGATTTTCTTCGGAACTAATGAATCAAATGCTGGCAAAATGATAGATGAATCTAATTTTACCAACATATTGGCGTAATCGTAATCTTTTTGGTCTACAGCTGTTCTAAATAAGAACTTCATGAAGTTCTTCTTAGTAAATTTGATAATATCGCCTGAAGTTGTAAAAATATATTCATTTTCGTCTAGATATATGAATTGGACTTCTGGAAGTGGTACTGTAAGACGTGCTTTACCATCGTGAACTACAGGAATACCTGTGCCATCAGCAAATAGTATTCCAAAAGGTGATTGAGCGAATGTAACTTTTGTTGTTGAATTAAACTCGTAAAGGTCTTGTCTAAAATTCGCTTTATTACCAGAATCAAAGGCATCGAGGATTAAAGCACCTAAATCAATGATAATTCCGATTTTATTTACAATATATTGTGGCAAAATTCTTTTTGGCTGTAAAGGATTGGGTGGACCGGCAAATATTATATGAGAAGATGCTCCTGCAGCAAAAATTAACTCGATTCTATCTCTTCCTGAGTAAGTAATAATTTTATCATCGGTATAAATAAAGAAATAAGTGATTTCATTAATAACCATTGATACAATTTCTAATATTGGCGTTCCGTTGGGCGATCTGTAAAGAAAGTTTGCGTTTTTGTTTGTTCCTGGTTGAATTTGGATAATTTGTCCATTTTCATCACCAATTAGGAAGTTTGGAGTAGATTTTTCTTGATCATTCCAACAACCAGTAAGTGGGATGACATTTGGAGGTATAAATAATGGTTGGAAAACTTCACCTGTTGTTGTGAAATATAATGGCTTCTTTCTAGGTAATATTATTATACATTTTTCACCTTTTCTATCTACAATCATTTTAGTTCCAGGAACGTATTTTTGCTGTAATGAATATTTCTTTGAATCTTTTAAATTATTTCGTTTAAATATATTCATTTCGTTATTCGAACGAAGGATCCATATGTTTTTCGGTCTAACTGCTAATGCAACGATCTCCGAAGTGAAATCCAACTGAAGGATCTCACAAAAATTATTGAAACTCATATTTGCATTGGCACTTTTTATTTACATTTTCTCAATTTTCATATCATTTTTTATTATTAAATATTTAATAAGTATATTTTACTTTTTAATGAAATTTTTTAATTTAAAAATAGTCCATTCAATTTAAATTTGTTGGAAAAAATGAAAGGGGAAAAATTTTTTTTCAAAAAAAATTCCAAACTAGAAATGGATAAATGCCTTGAATGCTGGAAGTCACTATTCATTAAACAGTTGTCCCTGCCTGATTCCACCAATGATATTCTACCAGCGGTCGTCAAAAAAGAATCCTTAAAAGATTTGAAAGATGATGACTTGAATGGATACATATCCAAGTTTAATCTTGAAATTAAGCTTGAAGAAACTTCAATTAACTTCTTAAATGACAATTGGAAAGCAAATAAACACATAAGAGCATGTTTCAGAGTAATTAGCGCAAAATTATATCAAATGTATCTCAGCTTTTCACCAAATCCAGATCCTAATGCACAAACAGTTACTGAATCTGTAAATTTCATTCAATTTTTATATGAAAACGAAAAACTGAATCAAGGTGATAAAAACATGCTTTGCAAGCTTATCAGGCCAGTACTAAACTGTGTAGTCACTCAAATGAACAGTTTTGATCAAGAAACTCCCCAAAATCCTCAAATTTTATTTTCCGACGTTATACGAGCTCTCGACAAAGCCTTAGAGTTTACTGCAGATGAAGAAACAAAAATCTGCTTCAAAACTGATTTAATCAATTTACAATTTTTCGTATATAAATTACACGAAAAAAATCCGAAAGAATACTACAGTGTTCTTAAATGTTTCCTTACGGAGATATTTACGAACTTTGATCAACTTTCAGAGTCAAATTTAAAATTAATATTAGAAACGATACATTTTGTACCAGAAGACAAAGAATTCTTGTATGATTCTATCTACACATTGTTTGAAATCATCAAAAAGACGAAATTAAACAGAATTGATGATTTTTGGAAAATAATTAAATTTATTGTTGAAAATTACACGAAGAAACTTGATATTCCTGATGATATATACCTAGAACAACAAGATATAAATGATTATCTTCCAGGAATCGAACCAAAACTCGCAATGTCCGAAGAAAACCAAAAAATTGAAATTTTTGATTTGAAAAAATCCGAAATTTTCACTCCAATGTGTAAAAACCACAAAGAAATAGATTATTTATTAGATATAATAACAGATATCATTATGTTGAATGCCGATTCTAACATTTCTTATGTTTTTGACGTTTATTTGAAAGAAACAGAAAATTTTTCAATTTATTCATTTTATTTGTCAGAAATTTTATTGTTTTGTATTCAAAAAATTGTTCCAACAAAAGAAATGCTGGAAAAGTATTTAGAAACGAAATTTTTCTCCGACAATTTCTCAAGGATTATATATGATGACACGAACAACGAATTCTTTAACTATGTTTTAGGATTAAGAAATGAATATTTTAAATATTTTGGAGAAAAAATGAACACAAAAGAAGTTTCAGGTTTTGTCACAGAATTTTCAAGCAAAAGTATCTTTAACTATTTCCAGGTTGTTCCTTTAGTTGTTTATTCTATAAATAACATATCAAAAAACACTGCTCCATACATGAATTATTTGGACATGACTTCTGATTATTTTTCAAAAACAAGATTAATTAAATTTTCAGAAAAAGATGTCAAATGGATTAATAATTTGTATATATATTTGATATCATTCATTAAATACATGATTGATATCTATCCTGATTGTTTGTTTGGAAAATCTTTGGATTCTGTAATTGATTTGTTATTTGAATCAAATACTCAAGAAATAGCTATAAATATAATTAATACATGTGTTAAATCAATGTATTGCAATAAATTGATACAGATAATCAACCAAATTCGTGAAGGAAACTTAAATTTAATTAAAATTTTAATAATTTTGTTAGAAAAAGTTGAGTTCAACGACCAAATATTAATGAATCTTCAAAATCTATTAAAGGAAATTGCAGAAACAATTAATACTTATCCAGAACAAGATTTGATTACTTCCGTTTTAGAATTTGTAGCAAGAAATTGTAGAAACTCTGAATTTATTCCTAAATTCATAAATTCTATTGATGATTCCATCAAAAAGATTCAAATTGATGACAAAATAATTGAATATTTAGAGATAATTTGTTTCGGACAAAAGATTGTTTCATCGTCCCAGAATCCTGTTATTTTGTCTAATCCAAGTATTTTGCCAAATATTATCAATATTTTGTATGATTCAGAAAAATTGTCAGAAATTTTCGGTTTTCTTTTGTTTTGTTGTCAAAAATCATACAGAAATACACTGAAAATTTGTTTGTGCGAAAACGAGAAATACGGTAAAATAGAATCCCAATTGTTAAATATAATAAATCAGGAAGCAAATACGAAAGAAGCGAAAGAAAGACAGCATAATGCTGAAACATTTTTAAGAGGTTTATTGTATAACAATGTATCAACGGAAACATTTTTAGGATTAATGAAAGCAATGAGAGATTCTAAGGATAATGAAATAAGACATAGAATTATTGGCTTATTAATGAATGCAGCAGATTATCAAGCATTGGAAGTAATGGGTTGGATGCCTGGTTTCTTCTCTTTGTATGGTGAAAATGTAATAACTGTTAATTTGGATTTGAATTTGGAAAAATCTTTGTTTTCTTTCGTTATCAAATTCATTTTCGATGATGTTTACAGAGATCAAAAACCAACAAAAACATTATTTGTTGATGCAAACAAAACATTGAGTGTTTTTGTTGAAGATGGAAATTTGAAATGTCAAATTAATAATGGAGAAAAAACAAAAGTTTGTAGATTTGAAATAAGAAGTGCTGTATTCTGCAGTGTTGCATTTTCTGTTAGCAAAATACAAATAGTATTTACTGTATGCCAAAGTGAAAATGAATCTACTTTTGTTTTAGATCTTCGAAGAATGAAATTTAAAACAAACAAAATTTTCATTGGAAAATTTGAAAACCAAGAAAATCTTGACCAGTTTCCAATAAATATCTCCAGTATAAATATATTACAAGGTGCAAGAACAGAAGAACAATTATTAGATATCTGCAGACAAAGTCCTTCCGAAATCAAGAAACAAAATGGAAATGAATTTTTGTCATTGAATGCTGTAAATTGGTCAGTTTCGAATTCAGAGAAATTCTCAACTCCTGATACAATTAAGAGTTCTGAACAATGGTCAATGAAAGGTTATTTGATAACACCACTACAAATACAGTCATTTTATCAGGCAATTCATGAATGCGGCGGTTTGTCAATTTTCTTATCGTTTTTTGACAGTATTAAAACTGACAAAGGAGAAACTGATGATAAACTAGCATATTTCAGGTCTTTGATCACTATCATATCTAGTCTAATGAGAGATCCTATTTTAGCACAAGGATTTTTCAAAGAAAAGTCATTTTTGATCATGAAACAGTATTTGTTAACTTTTCCATCAGAAGTTTTCTGCGAAAGCATGTTTGTTAGTTTGAGTTATTTCTATAATTGTATTACTGATGAAGAAGGAAAATTCTCATTCTTCAAGAACATATACGCAAACCCAGATATTTGGGAAAAGATTAAAGACAAAGAACAAAGACTTAATTTCATCCAAAAAGTCACTGAAATTTCTCAGAAATCGAATTTCTTGTCGAGAATGGATTTGATTTTCAAATACATAAATTACTTGGAAAAGGAATATCGATTTGCGACAGAGAAAACAGAAATTATCAAAGAGATTTTTGGTATTATTGAACAAATGTCTATTGATAATTTCACACAAAATGACCATTATTTCATTCTTTCTGAAGCTGTAAAGTTCAGGAAAGAATTACCAGTTTTTTCAAAGGATTTATTAGAATTTTTGTATGATTTTCATACGAAATATCCTCAGCACAATAAGTTCTTGACAGCATCAGAAAACTACTATCATCCTTTTGTTGAATTACTAGAAAATGATTTAACAGAAAATTTGACAAATAATTTTTATTATCTGACAAATTTTGTCAAATTTATTTCTTCTATCCAATATAAGTTCCAATGCAATAACTCAAACATCAGAGATGCCGCTCTTTCAGTCGTTTTAAAGATGAACTGGAATTTTGTAAATTATCCAGTCAAAAGTGAAGTGACCACTTTATTTAAAGAAATTTCAAAAGAGAACGATAAATTATTAGCAGATTATTTCCCATTAATTTGTCATTTAGCAATATCTATGTCAGAAACTGATTTTGATGAATTTATATCATTTTTCAGTCAAAAATCCGAGATAATATTAAATGAATGCAATGAATGGATATATTGGATTCTTTATTTGTTGTTGAATCGCAGCCAAATTGGTTGTTACCAAAAGATTGTTTCATTGATATCTATTTATTACACTAAAATACCTGTTAAGAAGCAAAGTTTAGTTGCTGACGTTGTTAGTGTTCAAGAAGACAAAACAATTCCTGTTTTATCTTCTTTGCATTTCATTATGTCTTATTTGTCACCTTTCATGGACGGAAATATTATTGGAAAAACTAATTTAACAAATGTTTCCACAGATGGACATCCTCTTTTGAGTTTCTTCAAGGAATGTCTTCATTATCAATCACCAAATATTGAAGCAATTCTTAATTTGATGATTTTGGCTTTATTCGAGAATCCAATCAAAGAAAACGAATTTGCAAAGATTCCAACTGATTGCAAACCTCTCGAATTATCAATTGATGTTGATACAATCACAATGAGAGGATTTAATTTGGAATTACCTTTGTTTAATGAATATCTTTCTTTTGAAGACATTTGGTACTTGATTTTCGAGATCTGGCCAAATACTCAAGGAAAATGCAACAGAGCATTGAGTTATATAACAGGTTATTACATCGTAGATATCGATGACGAAACAAAGCTTGTTAAATTACTCGTGTTCTTGACAAATAAAGTTGACATGCACAGGGATTCATTTAGTTTGGGATTGAAGAGAAGAACTGACTACGAAATCAACAAAAACAACAGTTCTGAATTGAGAAAGAGATTGTCTGATTTAATTGTCCTTCTCAACGCAAATGTTTCTCAAGTTCTCTTGAATTTCAAGAAGAAATATGATTTCGAAAATGCAGATTTCCCGTTGCATAAAGATTTTAATGAATATTCTGAAGAATCAAGTTTCAAGAAATCAGACTTAGTTTACCACTCTGATCTTGCAAAATCAAAGGATTTGTTTAAGTCAGTTATTGAAAAATTGAATAGTTTACGAACGATTAATTTCAATTTAAATATTTCTGAAATCAAAGAAATAATTTCAATTGAAAAATTACATGATTACGAGAAATTCCGCAAATACGAAAAGAAGATGTTGTCAAATGACTGTCACGTTTATAAGGTTAAATGTAGATTCGACCAAAACTTTGACGTCACTTCACCTCGTGTCAAAATTGAAAGACAACTAATTACTATACCAGAAATAGAACTAATTAATAATTGTAAGTTCCAGAAATCTGTGGATAATGTCATTGATTCTTTCTTGACATTTTACAAAGAAAAATTTGTCATAATTTATCAGAAAAGTGACAAATCTTACATTATCCATAGATTTGATCCTCTGAAAATCATCAGTCCTTCAAAGGATCGCTACGTTTTCTTGACAAACAAACAAAGAGTTTATGATATTACAATAACCGGAAACGTGACAGAAGATTTGACACAAAAACTTAAGATTGAAGAAAACGAAGAAGAAAAATGTTTGGAGAAATACAAGAACGGAGAATTATCTGTCTATCAGTATTATTTGATTTCGAATTTCTACAAAGGATTTACCATGAGAACAAATGAAGGAAATTGTCCGAAATACAGCGAAGAAAAAGGATTTGAAGAAAATATTAATTTCGAAGAAATCAGATTAATTAATGAGACAAAACATTTGGTGAATACAATTAATCTTTCTCCTTTGAAGATAACTAATTTGAACACATTTAATGACAAACAAAACATTGATTTGTCTTCGGCTTATTCGCATAGAAAACCAATCAAAATGCAGTCATCTTTTGCTGTTTTCGAGAATTGTTCTGTAGAATGGATTCCAGGAAAAATCATCACTCCTAAACTGATGGAATCAAGGGTTTGTTTGGATTTCTGCTACAACGAAATCCTTGGTTTAGTTGCTGTTCTCGATAATCATGAACAAATAACAATTTACGATTCATGGGGAGATAAAGTTGGAGAATACACAGTAACTCCATCCGCAAAAAGAGTTTTGTTCTGTGCTTCTTTGAAAGCTTTTGTTGTTCAATATGCAAATGGAATTATGTTGTACAAATTAAATGGATGCGTATTTGGAAATGTGTCTGATAATTCTATCAAAGATATAGAAATATATGATAGAAATGATTCATCAAGTCCTTTGTTGTTTGCTGTTACAGATAATTATATTTATTGGGCAGAAATTTCTGATCTACAAGGTGCAAATGATTTGTCTAAATTCCACAAACAAGAACTGAAACTCAAGTTCGAAAAAGTTAATTTCGCAGCAAACAATACATCAGTAACATTCACATTTACTATTCCTAACTCTCCTTATAAGCAAGTTCCATTTGCTGTTCAAATTTCTTCTCGAGAAATGAATTTTAATCAGCAAAATGAAAATTAATTAAATATTTTTGAATAAAATATTATTTTTATTATTTTATAAACTGTCTAAAATATTTCTTAACCTACTTTGAATGTTCTTGAAATGATGATTAAATGTCATATTTACAAATTACTGTAACTTTTTAGATAAAACTTCTTTCTATTTTCGATATAATCTGGAATCATATTTAAATCATTTTACTGGGAACAATGATCTTCTTTTCTAATAAACTGCTTTCAAGACTGAGTATATGGCATTATTTTTGACAAATCTACAAAATACAGTTTTATTCGTAATTTACGAAAAATCAAACAGAATATCTATCTCATGATATCTAAACAGTATTTTGATGATTCAGAAAGCAAAATAAAAAAAAATAACTCACATCCCTTCGATTCACTCCATAAATCTGTGAATGAATTTTTAGCACAATGAAAGAAGAAATCAATGAAAAATTCTTTGGTGAAGTATCATTTCTGATGTAAACATACACAATGAAATTGTTTCAAAAAAAATAAGAAAAGATTTTGCGATTTCTAAGACTAAAATTAATTTTATATCTCTGCCTTAGTCAATATGAGTAATCTTTCCCTTGATTTGTCTTTCTGGGAGCTTCAAATCTGGAGCAGCTTTGCCCATTGCAAGGCCGACAATAACACCTCCCTTAGGAATGTTAAGGACCTCAGAAAGATCAGAGAGTGCAACAGCACCAATTGTCATTGTGGAATAACTCATATCAGCTGCAAGCAAAATCATTGACTCAACAATCAAACCACAATCGATTTGAACGTAGTCCTTATGAGCTCTCTCATTCTTGACAAAGAGGTAAAGAACTGGTGCATCGCATGTGACAGGATTCTTAACACCCCATTCATTGATACGTTGCTGGAAATGCTTTTGTCCTGGTTCAGGAAGTCCCTTGAATGTTGCATCAGAGATCTGAGCTAACTTTTCTTTATTTGTGACAACGACAATATCGACTCCCTGAATATCCATTGAAGAAGGAGCTGTTAAACCTGCATTTGCAATGAGATCAATATCTTTCTTTGGGATCTCAAAGTCTTTGACGTAACTTCTGATTGTTCTTCTTCCTTGGATGCACTTGAGAACACTCATCGGATCTGATTTAAAACATAGCGATGCTTTCAAAATTTTATATGTTTTATTTATAAGAGCAAACATGCAATGGTATCAGATAGCTAGAAATGTTAGAATTCTAATTGAATAGCTCTCAAATTAAGAAAAATGATCGGCATATTTCAAATAATAAAAAACATCAATGTCAAATTATCTGCAATCACATTCAAATGCATCTTTACACTGAAATCAATTATAACATATTTTACCCATCATTCTCAAAATTTGTGATAAAACTGTTTTCCTTAAATGTAATTCTCTGAAATTTGATCGAATGCAAAACTATTTTCATACCTAATAAATAATCTAACAGCATTAAATTTCTTGCAAATATAAAGCATAACAGTCACCGTCATTAGATTCTTAATAAATAGATTTGTATTTTATTAATTTTGAATATTTCATTAAGCTCCCGATGAGATGAAATCACAACAATATTTTAAGAAATTGTCGATATTACTCGACTTCTTTCTCATTTACATAGATCAATGTATCTCATATTCAAATTATTTTTCAAGCTGTTACTAGAAGACTTTTATCAAAATAGTAACTAGTTCATTACAAGCACAGTTGAATAACATTCAATAATTTCGATTTTATATTTAGTTATATATTGAATTTGAAAAATAACTCACAAATCAAAAACAAAACAACATTCAAACGCTTAAATCTCAGGGGAGGAGATATGTATAAACATTGTTTAAATTTCATATTTTTTTCGAAGAAATTATGTTATCTTCTATTTGTCGCTTTGGTCATTCTATGCGTCGCCATGAAAGAGAAATTAAAGATATTGATCAAATCAAGAAATTCCTCAAAGAACAGCCTTATGGAGTTTTATCAATGAGCGATAATAATGTTCCATATGGAGTTCCGTTATGTTACGGTTTCACATGGGATAAAAACCAAAAGTATCCAACATTTTACTTCCATGGAGCTACTACAGGCAGAAAAATCGCAACGATTAACAATAATCCACTTGGATGCCTTTCAATCTCAAAACCACTCCAACTCTCTTACACACCTGGTAAGCTAGTATGCACGGCAACAATGTTCTACGAGTCTGTAATCGCAGAAGGAAAAGTTGAAATTGTTACTCACAAAGAAGAAATAAAAGCCGCTTTAGACACACTTCTCCAACAATTTGATGTTCCTCTAGGCAAGTACGCAGGGGCATCATTAAAGAGAACCGCGATTATTAAACTTGTCACTGACAGTCTTACAATGAAGAGTAATGCTATCAAGGGCAAAGCATAATTAATATTTTTCAAATATAAACCTGAAATTTTAGTCAGTATTTTCCCTTTCTTTTTGATTTTTATTTCAAATTATAGATAAAAAGCTTAAATTAAAAGAATTATTTCAAAAATGTAATTTTGCCTTCTCAAAAGACCACTCCTGAATAAAAAATTACTGCAGAAAAAGCTTTATTTTCGGAATATTTTCTTCAGAGTTTTAAAAGTTTAATATAGACATCTTTAGAGTGAAATGTGATTCAGAGTGAATGCTCAAATAGCCCCTTATGTTGCTCGTTTTTCGTTATCGAAATTTGCTGTGAGAAAAAAAATGATCGTCAATGCAATTGAAATTTTGAATAGTGATCGTAATCTACTTTCATTCAAATCATGACCATATTTACTCTTAAAGGGTTAAAGAACTTTCACATTTTTAAATCATATATGATTCCCTTCATAAAATGAGAGAATTTCATTCTAGAATTTTTCAGAGATCTATTCCCAAATAAAACATTCAAATATGAAACCAATAATATTTATATAATAAAAATATTATATGAGGTTTTAGTTTTGTTATAGACCGAAAATGGATTTTTTCGGTTTTCTCTTCAAATAATTGAAAGAATGATACTATTATAGGTTTAATATATTATATAGCATATAATCATGCTATAGCCGAAAATTATAAGTTTTGAGAAGATTGAATATAACACAAATAAATTTGAATGTAAGTTAAATTGTTTGTTGTTTTTAATAGCTATTTAATGAGAAATCCAATATTGCAAAATTCAAATTGAATGATTGAAAGAACAGAAAAAGTCATTCTTTTCAATTTCGAATATGTTTCATTGTATTTATAATTATATGGCAAATAAGATATTTAAACTTGATTTTTGAAGGAAAATTCACAAAATTGAATAAATTCAAATAATTTTTATTCCAAAATAAACTAGTTATTTGAGTTTAATACTAATTATCTATTCAAACTACAAAGTTTGTAATTTAAAATATTTTGTGAGATCAGATTGAATTAATTCAAGGTTCTTTTCAATTAATATTAATGACCATATTACGCATTTTCGAACATTCTAAACCAAATATATAAAAATGGGAGACGAATGTTAAATTTGCTAGACATGGGGGAGTTGTCTGCAAAGTTTTAGCTCTTATCTCTAACAAAAAATTAGTTTTTAAAAAAATGACCGAATACGTTTCACAGCGAGAAAAAAATAAAAGGCAATATAGAATTTTCTAGACATAAAGAAGTTGTCTACCAAGTGTCAGCTGTTACTTCTTCTCAATACTGATATAAAATAAAAATCTTTATTATTTATTTAACCTTTATTGTTTCATTAAACTTCATTTATTTTATATTATAGTTTTATTCTTTTAGCTACTTGTCAAATAATCTAATTTTATATCATCATTTTACCGGATTATTCTTCAGTACATCGATTGTGTATCTAAAATAATATCATTATCCTTATTCTGTTTTTTCCAAAATTCTTTTAAATATCTTTTTTGGTTAGATTACTTTATACTTTTTACTTTTATTTTTTAATTTCAAAAAAAAATTTGGTGATTGTTCTATTCTGTTACAATGTGCATTATCATATTCTAATGAATTATTCATTACATACATTTAAAAAAACTTGTTAAAAATGAAATTAAAAAATTATGTTTATTATTACGCTGTGAATGTGTCAACAGCGGTCATGCCTGTATCTGTATCCCATATTTGCCACAACCTTTCTGTATCTGCATTTGTGTATTTCGGTTTCAGCTGATACATTTGATTTGGCGTGTAATTTGTTCCAGTTAATGGATTAATTGGGAGATCTTCATGTGGTGTGTTATTATTGTACTCCCAAATAAAGGCAGGAATAGCCTGAATGCTTTGGCAGCGCTCCAATGTCGGCCAGAATCTCTCAATCTTCCCATTTTGGTAAGTTAGTATGGGTTAGTTGGGTACGGAGGCACTGCGAGCCTCCTTACCCATTATATGTGAATTTGACACTTTACAAAACCGCTAACGTATATTTTACAACACAAACGACAACACTAACTTAACCTTAAATATTTACAAAGCCACCAACCATTTCACCTCACTAACGAACTCACTAATGAAAAAATAAACGTTCTCATAAATTTTCTTCTATATCTTCATCGTCAATGTTAACCCTATTGTAGTCATACTTGAAGTCATAAAGTTTCTCAAGTTTTGAAATGCATAGTCTTGTTAACTTACCTTCATCATCATAAGTTTTTATAAAACTACCATGACAATCTTTATACACAGTCAATGTATAATCTACTGGTCTAGGATGAAGTGTAAAGAACATGTTATACTCAGGGAGGAAGAATAAATGTTTAAATGTATGTTTGTTATATTTTTCGATTTGTATGAGTTGCTTTTGTTCTGTCATTTACATCCAAATAAAAATTTTCAGTAAAATAAAAAATAAACTTAAAAATTAATGATATCACCACCCTCACACGTATGAAAACATAGCACAAAAATAAATTTAGGTGAAGTGGTGAAATCTCACCTCTTTTTTCACCTGTTTTTTCACCCTGTTGAATTCATTGCTTTATAACTCTCTTCCTTGGTTTCTTTTTAGTTGCTTTCTTCACGTCTGTCTCCAACTTGACTGTCTTTCTTCTTCGTCCGTAATGATACCAGTTACTTCCACCAGTCAATGGGTCAAATGGTCTTTCGTAAGGGTTTCCATACATTCCATAGGGACCATACGGAAGAACTACTGGTGGAGAAGAAACATTTTCTTTAGTTCCATCGACTCTATTTAAATGCATTGTTTCACCTTTCATCTGGTCATTAAAGTCTTTTGCGTGTTTTGCAAACTCATCGTCCTTTCCTAAAGCATTTTCTGACTCAGTCGCAACCAAATTGGATGCTTTATTTATGAGCCCTATTTTATTTAATCTTAACTTCTTTGCAACCCAGCCTCCAATCTTCCCTTTATTTGCATCTAATGTCTTCGAAACCCTTCCTCCACTCATTTTATTTACTGCGTCATAAGCTCCAAGTGCTTTTGCTCCAAATGCTAATGCTTTTGTTCCCATTGCGCCTAAAGCTGCCCAAGCTACCATTTACACCATATTAAAATCATCTCTCTTCAATATTATCTCATAAAAGTTCTCGTTACTGGAGAAAGTCAATGAAACATAAACGTTCTCACGGGCTTCGCCCTCACCGCTTTGCGGTCTATCTAACTTATTTCTTATATCATCTATACGCTTCAAAATGTCTGAACAATTGCTAACATCTTCTACAACAGTTATTTCATCATGAATGACCTTCAAGAACAAGCTCATTTAATATGCTATTAAAATCATCTCAATAATGAGTCCATCCTTTCCGTCTTTGGGTAGCACAACATCTTTCATTGAAGAAGGTTCGACAAGTCTTATGTTAAACTTACTGACAAAGTTTGTTATACTATAATGCTTCGGCGGCGAATACATGTAGTTTGAAAGACATAATATAGATTCTTCAGCAAATTCACTTATACTGGATTTTATAACAATGTTCTCACGAGACCAAATACCACCAATTGACAATCTTGTAAGCAATCCTGCTGAACCTTCTACTGTAAACGTCGATGGTAACATTCCACGAAGGTCATCTATTGACATCGTTGAGTCACTGAATTTAAATATTTTCTTAAAGCAATCGTCATTATCTAACCATGCAATAGCTTTGAAGTTTTCATTCGAATATACATCTGCTTCATTAAATGTAAAACCTGACTTCTTTGCAGAGATGACTTTAAAATCTATTGAGTTTGTTTCAAAATTATATGCTATGGTAACTTCTGAAGGTAATGGATGTCCTTCCGCAGTCAGTTGTTCTCTCACCACCGTTTGAAGCTTTGTATTAAAAACTTTCATGTCATCTCCTGTATCTAAGTTCACATACACAGCAACAGGAAAACTATCTTGCTTCTTTGTTTCATCATTATATCTCAAAACATTAAAGTTCTTCAATAATATTGTTCTTCCTGCTGGAATACTTCGAACCTGTCTGATTTCAATAGCTTTCTCACCTCCTACATACTCTACCCAGTGTCTTGGATATTCATAAGTATACTGACTTTCTTGAATTTTGGTTGGTTTCATCATAACATGTTCATAGTATATCTTTATACTCTTGTCAGTTAGACTCGGTGCTATGTTCTGAATATTTCTGACTTGCATTTTTAATGGAGATAAAATGAAGCATTTAATACATGACGTAGATGAAGACATGAATGAAACTACAGACAAACTTAACTCTTCTCTTATTCTTCCTTTCAGTAAGGACTATGAGTTCTGTTCAAATGGTGTTTATTTCTATTGTGGAAAGATGGGTTCAGGTAAGACATTTAACCTCATTCGTCATATACTCATAACAGAACGTTTAGGAAATGACTCTTACTATGACCAAATCATTATATCAGCAACTTCAGACTCTATGGACTCAACAGCGAAAACATTTATGTCAAAAGTTCAAGCCTCTGTCGTTAAAGTTCCAGACAGTGAACTCATTGAATTTCTTCAACGTTACATTCGACGTAAGAGGAAATATTATGCCATCGTTGAATTTATACAGTCAGGAATGCAAAAGACTTCTGAGGAGATGGAAAGAATTATTGACAAACACCACTTACGTCAATACTCAGGAGTTTACGATATGAAACGACTTACAAACTACATTCTGTCAAAACTTTCAAAATACCCCTTCAAAAAGTATCCTTCAAACACTTTATTAGTTTGCGACGACTTCGCCGGAAAAGGTTTAGTGTCAAAACCAGACTCACCATTAGCTAACATCATTACTAAAGTCAGACATTACCATTTAACTGTAGCAATACTTATGCAAACATGGAGGTTTTTAGCTTTAAACATAAAACGTCTCATAACTGACTTCGTTATCTTTCAAGGTTTCTCACGCTATGATATTGAACTCATTTGGAAACAATCAGGTATAACATTACCTTTTGAAGAAATTTGGGAAGCATA